GTTGACATTGAAATAGAATTTGAAACTAAATTCCTTGGGGTTGTGATTGATTATAAACAACACAGGGTTATATTATGGAAAACATGCAAATAAATTAAAATAATGTTGTAATTCCCTTTTGGTTTTTCAAAGGAGTGGTTCACTAGTGTGAACAATTTTCTTTTCTTTTTGGTGAGCAGCTTAAATTGATAAGCGGTAATAATGGGGGGGGGGGTATATAAGCATTTTGCTCCGGCCTGAGACCGTTCAGTCACTACTTAATACAAAGATTTATGTTTTTTGCTGTTTACATTGTTTACATTTACTGTTTTATGGGTGATGACAGAATAAAACTACTTCAACTACTAAGACTTGTGATACATTATCAACCCAAATGGAAAAAACTTAAATTTTCTCCTGTCCACCATGTATTGATTTTGAATGGGGTCTGGTCAAGATATTTCCCTGTAAACAAGTAAAGTTCCTTGACCCCTGAGTTTAAATATTGGACATTTAACTTTTAAGGACAACTGGCAAAATGGAGCGGTAAATGGTAAACACATCCATATAAATCCTCTTCTTCCTTAACAACACATCCAGGGCAGCCTAAGAAAGTTTTTCATTGGCTGCTATTACTTCCATCCTGAACTACGACCTCAACACACCTGGTAAACACAACCTGATACACGGTTTTGTTGGTAAGAATCACCTGAACGTGCCTTAAAAAAAAAAAAAAAAAGCACCAAATCATTTTATTTATCCAAATTCAGGTAAAAAGCAGGTTGCACTTCTCGGACCTTCTTGGCCTCAGTCTTGAAACACAGGCGTGATTTGCTGCAGCACACAGCAGGTGCGTGTTTGTGTCTTTAATGTGCGTGTGTGCACCTTGATGAGGGATCTTCCTGCGGAGCTGGTAGGGCGAAGGAAGCTCCTCTGCGCTGTTATTCCACCGGCTTGTGTAGGCAGCAGATCTCCAAACACCTTCTTAAAGTGTGTGGCCATGTTCCTCTGCTGCACCACGCTGCGACGTGGTCCTCGATGGACAGGATCACAGCGATACCTGCTCAAACACGCCGGCACAGATCAACTGCATCGCCTGCGGTCGGCTAAAACCCAGGTCATTCAGTGAATCAGTGAGGTACACACTTACTCAGATGTGACGAAGGCGTGTTCTTTGATGTGTGTGCAGCACGTCCAGGAATTTGATCTTGGAGGTGAGGGTGTGGCCTGGTAGATTATCGGCAGGTCGTCGGGTCCGTCCCAGCAGTCCACTGACATCAGAAAACACACTTCAAGCTTCATGTGAGCTTTGAGATGCTCAGTAGAGGCTGCGTGACCCTCACTGCGCTCAGCTCTCGCGTCACCAAAAGAACTAAACACTAAAACATCACGTGCCACCGGGATGCAGAGCACCATCGGCAGGTGAGGACTCAGCCGCACAGACCGCTGCGGACACCTACACATTAAAACTGAGGAACGTTAACACTCTGCTTCAACTTTGTTTCTATGAAAAGCCGAAAAATTCACTATTTTAAAAACGTGGGACTCTTACGTTCGATGCAGCGGCAGCCCATCCTCAGACAGCGGGCGTAGGCCTCCAGAGATGATTCGCTGGAAAACTGGTCCCCTGTCAAGTAAGCTGAGGTCATGACGACATGGAAAACGAGTTCATTAGAGTTAGTGGCACTCACACTGTTAATACGATCATTATTTATTATTCATTTTAATTCCTTTTTTCTGGTACCACACCGGCCTTGACGCCCTGTTAATACATGTAGTGACGACAACTAAGAACTCACTGGTCGTAAACCACAAATACAAAACACAATCTAAATGAGACGGATCTGAGTTGTTGGGAGCTCCTTTCATGCAGCTAAGATAGCTTCCAGTTTCATGCTAGTCTAGGCTTAATATTTATGCTAAAGCTAGGCTAAGCTACGTCAATATCATTTGTCTGTAAAACAGTGAATAAGCAGATTTTCCAAGTGAGTGTTTAAATGGAGTGTTTAAATCACAGATTAGAGAATAAAAACAACTAAAGTCCTTTCTAGACAATAAAAATGTTCCAACGTTGGAGACGGACGCTGACGTTATGGAGACAAACAAGAAGATCTGAGAACATGAGGGACGGTTATGGGACGTACGTGTTGTGTGAGGAGGAGATCCAGTACTGAGACAGAGGTCGCTTCATGTCATCGTGAACAACAGGTGAAGTCGAGGGTCACACACAGAGTTTCTCTTTGGAGAACAGGAAGGTCAGGAACTAGGAAAAACAAAGTCACATGATCAGACAGGAAGGTATAAGAAAAAAACCTTCACAGTTTATTCGGGTTTCTGTGCACGTGTGTGTGTGTGTGTGTGTGTTCGTGTATCGTTTCACCTCATCCAGTTGCAGCATCGGCTCAGGCTGTGGCCCCCCCCTCATGTACCCCATGAGGAACTCTCTGACCCGGCTCAGATCCGCACGCCAGGACTCCTGAGACGAAGCCGAGCAAAGAATGAGTACAAAGCAGTTTATTTTATTTATTTATTTTTTTTTTTTTTCTTTCTGTTGTTGTGCTGACGGTGCTTTTTTGCTCCAACGCTAAAAACTTTGCTCCGTACCTTTTGGTCCATCTGTAAAAAACTTCTGGAAGCTGTAGAGAGAGATCTGACAAAGCTCTGTCTGTCAACGTTCTACAATAGCAACCATTTTCAAGATGTCAGACGGCGGCGGAGCGAAAGTTCAAGGAAAGAACGAGAGAGAGGAGACATGACACATTAACATACAAAATATCTGACTGGCAATTAACCTCATTACTCTACCTGTGCCAATTCTAATTACACACATTTTTGGGGTTAATGTCCCATAACAATTGAGAAAAGAGCCAAGAAAAAAAAAAAAAAAAAACACAAAATGGGAAAAACACATGGAAACGCTTCAGTATCCTGAAAGCCAAAACTTTCCTTCGGGACACTGATAATCTGCGTTTTTAAAAGAGAACCTGGACGGCTAGAGGGACGACAGTGAGGAGTGGAGGTGGAGGAGGAGGAGGAGGAGGAGGAGGAGGTGTGAAGACGAAGGGAGTGGACACTGAGGAGGAGGTGAAGGTGAAGGGACTCACCGCAGAGGGAAGGAGAGCTCCAGCTGCTCAATAATCTGGGACAAGAAGGGGAGGAACCAGGTGACGGACAGGTGTGGAGAGGAGCCAGGTGAAGCATAAAACAGTGAAGCTCAAAAGTGTGGCGGTCTCGTGTGGTGCGAGTGCAAAGGTGGCAGGTAACAACGTGCTGGTGAATCTACTCAAATACTGAACTTAAGGGTGATTTTAAGTGGAAATTTTACTTGAGTATTTCCGCTTTGGAGACTTTCTACTCCACTACATTTATCTGATGCTGGAGAAACTTAGTACTGTACAGATAAAGATCTTACAGTCGGTGTTATATTCAACCTTAACAGGAATAAACTAAGAATCACCCTCTCCTGGTCGTCTGCCTCCGCCGCTCAGACTAGTTTCAGGTTACATCCCTGTTCATCCAGAGTCACAGAAAATATGAACCATTTCGTGAAATTATCATAATTGCTGTGGGAAGTCTTGAGTAATGGTTAAAAAGTGTTTTGTGAGGCTACACTGACCTTGACCTTTGACCTTTGCCCCTCAAAGTCTAATCAGGTCATCCTTGAGTCCTAGTGAATGTTTGTGCCAAATTTAAGAATGTTCCGCTTCAAGGCGTTACTGAGATATCATGACCACGAGAATGAGACAGACGGACAACCCGAAAACAATACGTTCGCTCCGGCTCCGGCTGTTGCCGGGGGCGGGAGGGATAATAAAAACAACCTTCCCTCGTTTCCTAGTTTCCTATTTCCTAGTTCTTCTAAATCTGTTATAGGATCATTTTTATGTAAGATTAGATGGAGGGATCACTGGTCACTGGGCCAGAATGATCTAATGAATGTCATGTCATTCACACTGAATTTAAGGATGAAGAGGTAGTTTACCCCTTTTGTAAAAGTCTGCTTCTCTCAGCCGCAGACACCAGAGAACGTTAGTTCTCACAAGTGATCGGTTTTAAGGTGATCAGCCACCGATTACATCTTTTTAATGAAAATCGGCCGATAATGATCGCCGGCCGATCAGTCAGGGCATCCCCTACTTGTAAAATGTTAAAAAATAGAGTGTAATAGTGCTAATTGATCAGTGGCATCAAGGGGGTAACTACCTCTTCATCCTTAAATTCAGTGTGAATGACATGACATTCATTAGATCATTCTGGGCCCAGTGACACAGTGATCCCTCCATCTAATCTTACATAAAAATGATCCTATACAGATTTAGAGAACTAGGAAATAGGAAACTAGGAAACAAGGGAAGGTTGTTTTTATTATCCCTCCGCCCCGGCAACAGCCGGAGCCGGAGCCGTATTGTTTTCGGGTTGTCCGTCTGTCTCATTCTCGTGGTCATGATATCTCAGTAACGCCTCGACGGAACTTCTTAAAATTTGGCACAAACATTCACTAGGACTCAAGGATGACCTGATTAGACTTTGAGGGGCAAAGGTCAAAGGTCAAGGTCAGTGTAGCCTCACAAAACACTTTTTAACCATTACTCAAGACTTCCCACAGCAATTATGATAATTTCACGAATGGTTCATATTTTCTGTGACTCTGGATGAACAGGGATGTAACCTGAAACTAGTCTGAGCGGCGGAGGCAGACGACCAGGAGGAGGTGATTCTAGTTTATTCCTGTTAAGGTGATATAACACCGACTGTAAGATCTTTATCTGTACAGTACTAAGTTTCTCCAGCATCAGATAAATGTAGTGGAGTAGAAAGTCTCCAAAGCGGAAATACTCAAGTAAAATTCCACCTTAAAATCACCCTTAAGTTCAGTATTTGAGTAGATTCACCAGCACGTTGTTACCTGCCACCTCTGCACTCGCACCACACGACGCCACACTTTTGAGCTTCACTGTTTTATGCTTCACCTGGCTCCCTCCCACCTGTCCGTCACCTGGTTCCTCCCCTTCTGTTCCCAGATTATTGAGCAGCTGGAGCTCTCCTTCCCTCTGCGGTGAGTCCCTTCACCTTCACCTCCTCCTCAGTGTCCACTCCCTCGTCTTCACACCTCCTCCTCCTCCTCCACCTCCACCTCCTCCTCACTGTCGTCCCTCTAGCCGTCCAGGTTCTCTTTTAAAAACGCAGATTATCAGTGTCCCGAGGAAAGTTTTGGCTTTCAGGATACTGAAGCGTTTCCATGTGTTTTTCCCATTTTGTGTTTTTTTTTTTTTTTTCTTGGCTCTTTTCTCAATGTTATGGGACATTAACCCCAAAAAATGGTGTAATTAGAATTGGCACAGGTAGAGTAATGAGGTTAATTGCCAGTCAGATATTTTGTATGTTAATGTGTCATGTCTCCTCTCTCTCGTTCTTTTCTTGAACTTTCGCTCCGCCGCCGTCTGACATCTTGAAAATGGTTGCATTTGTAGGAACGTTGACAGACCAGAGCTTTGTCAGATCTCTCTCTACGACTTCCAGAAGTTTTTACAGATGGACCAAAAGGTACGGAGCAAAGTTTAGCGTTGGAGCAAAAAAGCAACCGTCAGCACAACAACAGAAAGAAAAAAAAAAAAATAAATAAATAAAATAAAACTGCTTTGTACTCACTTCTTTGCTCGGCTCGTCTCAGGAGTCCTGGGCGTCGGATCTGAGCCGGGTCAGAGAGTTCCTCATGGGGTACATGAGGGGGGGGCCACAGCCTGAGCCGATGCTGCAACTGGATGAGGTGAAACGATACACGAACACACACACACACACACACGTGCACAGAAACCCGAATAAACTGTGAAGGTTTTTTTCTTATACCTTCCTGTCTGATCATGTGACTTTGTTTTTCCTAGTTCCTGACCTTCCTGTTCTCCAAAGAGAACTCTGTGTGTGACCCTCGACTCTCACCTGTTGTTCACGATGACATGAAGCGACCTCTGTCTCAGTACTGGATCTCCTCCTCACACAACACGTACGTCCCATAACACGTCCCTCATGTTCTCAGATCTTCTTGTTTGTCTCCATAACGTCCAGCGTCCGTCTCCAACGTTGGAACATCTTATTGTCTAGAAAGGAGCTTTAGTTGTTTTTATTCTCTAATCTGTGATTTAAACACTCCAAACATTTAAACACTCACTTGGAAAATCTGCTTATTCACTGTTTTACAGACAAATGATATTGACGTAGCTTAGCCTAGCTTAGCATAAATATTAAGCCTAGACTAGCACTGAAACTGGAAGCTATCTTAGCTGCATGAAAGGAGCCTCCCAACAACTCAGATCCGTCTCATTTAGATGTTTTGTATTTGTGGTTACGACCAGTGAGTTCTTAGTTGTCGTCACTACATTATTAACAGGCGTCAAGGCCGGTGTGGTACCAGAAAAAAGGAATTAAAATGAATAATAAATAATGATCGTATTACAGTGTGAGTGCCACTACTCTAATGAACTCGTTTCCATGTCGTCATGACCTCAGCTACTTGACAGGGGACCAGTTTTCCAGCGAATCATCTCTGGAGGCCTACGCCCGCTGTCTGAGGATGGGCTGCCGCTGCATCGAACGTAAGAGTCCACGTTTTAAAAAGCGAATTTTCGGCTTTTCAGAACAAAGTTGAAGCAGAGTGTTAACTTCCTCAGTTTTAATGTGAGGTGTCCGCAGCGCGTCTGTGCGGCTGAGTCCTCACCTGCCGATGGTGCTCTGCATCCGGTGGCACGTGATGTTTTAGTGTTTAGTTCTTTTGGTGACGCGAGAGCTGAGCGCAGTGAGGGTCACGCAGCCTCTACTGAGCATCTCAAAGCTCAACATGAAGCTTGAAGTGTGTTTTCTGATGTCAGTGGACTGCTGGGACGGACCCGACGACCTGCCGATCATCTACCACGGCCACACCCTCACCTCCAAGATCAAATTCCTGGACGTGCTGCACACCATCAAAGAACACGCCTTCGTCACATCTGAGTAAGTGTGTTACCTCACTGATTCACTGAATGACCTGGGTTTTAGCCGACCGCAGGCGATGCAGTTGATCTGTGCCGGCGTGTTTGAGCAGGTATCCTGTGATCCTGTCCATCGAGGACCACTGCAGCGTGGTGCAGCAGAGGAACATGGCCACACACTTTAAGAAGGTGTTTGGAGATCTGCTGCTCACCAAGCCGGTGGATAACAGCGCAGAGGAGCTTCCTTCGCCCTACCAGCTCCGCAGGAAGATCCTCATCAAGGTGCACACACGCACATTAAACAGACACAAACACGCACCTGCTGTGTGCTGCAGCAAATCACGCCTGTGTTTCAAGACTGAGGCCAAGAAGGTCCGAGAAGTGCAACCTGCTTTTACCTGAATTTGGATAATAAAAATGATTTGGTGCTTTTTTTTTTTTTTTTAAGGCACGTTCAGGTGATTCTTACCAACAAAACCGTGTATCAGGTTGTGTTTACCAGGTGTGTTGAGGTCGTAGTCAGGATGGAAGTAATAGCAGCCAATGAAAAACTTTCTTAGCTGCCTGGATGTGTTGTTAAGTGAAGAAGAGGATTTATCTGGATGTGTTTACCATTTACCTGCTGCACTTGCCAGTTGTCCTTAAAAGTTAAATGTCACTATTTAAACTCAGGGGTCAAGGAACTTTACTTGTTTACAGGGAAATATCTTGACCAGACCCCATTCAAAATCAATACATGGTGGACAGGAGAAAATTTAAGTTTTTCCATTTGGGTTGATAATGTATCACAAGTCTTAGTAGTTGAAGTAGTTTTTATTCTGTCATCACCCATAAAACAGTAAATGTAAACAATGTAAACAGCAAAAAAACTAAATCTTTGTATTAAGTAGTGACTGAACGGTCTCAGGCCGGAGCAAAATGCTTATATACCCCCCCCCATTATTACCCTTATCAATTTAAGCTGCTCACCAAAAAGAAAAGAAAATTGTTCACACTAGTGAACCACTCCTTTGAAAACCAAAAGGGAATTACAACATTATTTTATTTATATTTGCATGTTTCCATAATATAACCCTGTGTTAGTTTATAATCAATCACAACCCCAAGGAATTTAGTTTCAAAATTCTATTTCAATGTCAACATCCCAGATTTTTATAACTTTAGGAACATGTTAGTAAGTAAGTCTTCACCGTGTGCAATGTGTGTAGGTAAAAATGCTCGTCGATGCAGCCACATGGTGACGCTGTAGATCAGAGTGTCTCAAGCTTTGTCATTGTGTCACAGCACAAAAAGCTGGTGGAGGGAACTCTGTACGAGGAGGTGACGTCAGCCAGCTACTCCGAGAACGACATCAGCAACTCGCTGAAGAACGGCATCCTGTACCTGGAAGACCCCATCGACCATGTGAGTGTGCAGTGTATGTGTGTGTGTGTGTGTGTGTGTGTGTGTGTATACACAGTATTTACTAAAGTGTGGTTTCTGATTCACAGACATGGACTCCACATTATTTCGTCCTGACCAGTAATAAGATCTACTACTCAGAGGAGACGTCCCACTACCAGACAGCTGATGAAGAAGAGGACGATGAAGGAAAAGAGGTAGGGAGATGATGAAGATGTCGGTCATTGTGATTGTGATGATGATGATGATGATGATGATGATGATGATGATGATGATGATGATGATGATGATGATGAGAGCTGTGGTAGAATGGTAGAAGAGAGGTATATGATCAGGGGAAGTTCATGCTGATGTTGAAAGTCTTTACAGTTTCGTTGTTTCTGGTGTTTGGTTTCTTCTTCCTGTTGATACAGGGCTGGAAGTAAAGTAACTAATTATTAATGAATAATAATAGAAAAATAGAAAAAATAAATTCAATTAAAATAAATTAGATTAAATTGATGATTAATAATAATAAAAAGAAAATGACTCTAGAATAAAAGTTAAGTAGAGAGGAGTTTATGCCTCCACCGAAGCTGCACAACACTCTAAATTTATTATTTTAATAATGATTTCTCTGCATCTGGATCCAGATGTGCATGAAAATGAAAATGGTGATAGACTGTGCTGCAACACATGAGATTTTTTTTTTTTTTTTTTTAATTTAAGTAAAAGCAAAAAATCATAAGCAAAAACATTTCATAAAAAAAAAAAAAAAAAGAAAGAAAGTCAATGTTAAGAAAAAGTAGTCCCTTCCTCCCTGGCCCATAGGTGCTATTTTCACATTTTTAAATATGCCTCTAACAAACTGGACCGGAGCTTCTTTCTAGTCAATGTATCAGCACCTCCTCATAAGATAATCCGTTGAACACGATGCGTTGATGATTATCAGTGTAATAATATCTGAATGTGTCCCGGCTTCTCCGTCTCTCTCCTCTCTGCGACTCGTCAGGAGTGCAACAACAACGAGCAGCACTGCGCCGAGCGCTGGTTCCACGGGAAGCTGGGTGGAGGTCGAGACGGTCGACAGGTGGCTGAGAAGCTGCTGCAGGAGTACTGCGAGGGCGGGGCTAAAGACGGCACCTTCCTGGTCAGAGAGAGTGAGACGTTTGTCGGAGACTACACCCTCTCCTTCTGGTCAGTAGGAACAGGGAATCTGTTCAAAGGTCCTGAATAGTATAAAATGAGATTTTACCTGAATTCTGCTCTATTTTTATTCAATCACTCAGAAAACAGTCAGCCAATCAGAAGAGACGCTCAGAGCCTCCTCTCCAGAGAGAAGCCTGAGAGAGGAGATGTAAAACTACATTGAGATGGTTTTTGGTTTTTAAAACAACAAATATATCTTCTTATGGATCAACACTTCAAATAAAACACAGGAGAAGAAGAAAATATTGAGCTTTTAAAGGGAACTCAGCTGCATCTCTTTGTTTTTTTTAGTGGAGAAGAGAAAGGAGAGGAAAACAGGAATTAGAGAAGAGTGGGGAAGAATTTAGAATTAAAATGATCAAAGCTGTGAGCGGCAACATCGCTGGGGCCTTCACAGTTTAGTCATGAAGGAAAAAAATGATTTAAAAGTGATTAACAAAAAAAACTGTTGAGTGTGCTTCACCTTGGACGAGACTGATGGAATCTGTTTGGTGTATTTTTATTTATCTGAAGGACATTTTTTTGTCAAATTAAATACATTTGAAAACAACAAAATAAAAATGTAAATAAATAAAAATCCCAATATCAGGATTCATTTGAAAAAAAAAACTATTTTCACTTTATTAGTTTCAGATTTTCAAATGGAAAACAAATGCTCAGTAATTAGGAACTTACTTTAAATGTATACATCTGACTATATTTATTTTACTGTGCTGTGAATTTCAATATAAATTACTTATAAATATAAATCAATTATTATTTCTATTATTATTATTTTATTATTATTATTATTAACTATTATTCCATCTCACATAATTAAAGTTTATTATTATTATTATTATAAATGGACATAATAAAATGTAGGTCATCTACCACATTCCTCCTCTGTCTGCCAGATTCATTTCATTATGATCTGATATTAACCTCAGCTACAGCTGTATTTATACACTGTGATGTGTTACAGACAGAACAAAGAACAGAGAGCTGAAAGTTTTCACTGGTTTCTTCTTGGTTGAAATGTATTTAGCAGCTGACTCCTGTTCCTCCTCGTGCAGGCGCTCCGGTCGCGTGCAGCACTGCAGGATCCACTCGCGCCAGGAGTCCGGCTCCACCCGCTTCTACCTGACCGACAACCTAGTGTTCGACAGCCTCTACCGCCTCATCTGCCACTACAGAGACACGCCGCTGCGCTGCAACGAGTTCGAGATGAGGCTGGGCAGCCCCGTGCCCCAACCCAACGCACACGAGAGCAGAGAGTGAGTGGCGGACGTCCGTGAACGCAACACGCTCTGTGTTAGTCACTGAGAGAGATCAGCGGCTGAGGAAAAGTTTGTGTGTTTTCCAGGTGGTACCACTCCAGTCTGTCCCGCGTTCAGGCCGAACACATGCTGATGCGCGTCCCCAGAGACGGAGCTTTCCTGGTGCGAAAGAGAAGCGAGCACAACTCCTACGCCATCTCCTTCAGGTGAAATATCAGAATCACACAACGACAAGATGTAATTCATCTGGTTCCTGCTCAGCGTGAAGACAGTTTCCATCCGTCTGTCCGTCTGTGTGTCTGTGTGTCCATCTGTAGGGCGGAGGGAAAGATCAAGCACTGTCGTATCCAGCAGGAGGGACGTCTCTTCATGCTCGGCAGCTCGGCAGAGTTCGAGAGTCTGGTGGATCTGGTGAGCTACTACGAGAAACATCCTCTTTACCGTAAGATGAGGCTGCGCTACCCCATCAACGAGGACACGCTGGACCGGATGGGCACCACGGTCAGTCACACACACACACACACACACACACGAAAATCAAGTAACTTCACCTGAAAATCTGATTTTATTTTTAGCAGAGTTTCAGGCTGCAGTTAATGATTATTATCATTATTGTTTATTAACTATCTAGTCTATAACATGTCAGTGTTCAGCATTTTTTCTTGATTAAAGGTGTAAATAATCAATAATCAAACCTGTTGATTCATTTTGTGGAGTGATTGCTTTCACTTGATAAATTTAGTCACAATTTAACAAGTTAATTCATATGACACAGCGACAGTCAGGAAACACTCTGCACCACGAGCTGGGTTACAGTGCAGTGATAATGTTGTAATCACTTACATGATGCATGCTTTTGATTTGATTTGATTCACACACATAAAACATCACAAATATATTGTATATAGAAACCTGTACACGACTTATGTTAAGATCTCACCACAATATAAACATTTAAATCATAAAAAAATAAAAGTATAAACAATATATTTGATTGTAAACTGCCTCCTGTTTTCACTGTGATGGATGAAATAATCCACATTTAAGTCTCTGATAGTTGATTTTTTTTTTATAACATCACTGTAGAATGAATAGAATAGAACCAGTGACCGGGGAAAGTAGGAAAGCCACAATTTGAAAATCTAAATTGGTTCAACCATTTCCAACTAATGGCCCACATCTGACCCCATAACAATACAGTTACAAATAATGATAAAGATTGAACATTGAGGACTGAACTGAGAACAGAGGAGATCACTTGTCAGTTCACCATCTGTCTCTTGACTCTTTCCTTTGACCTCTTCCTGTTGTTAACCAGCTATGGCAACTCTTTTAATCACACTGAGATAGAAAACAAGGGAACGATGTGGTCCGGCAGCGACAACTTAAAAGTTCCTATCATCGGTTTATCACACTGAAAGACCTAAATACGAGAAAAAAAAACAAAACATTTAATTTTAAACATTTTAAATGTTTTTAAAAAATAATTTTCCACTGTCCAGAAACATTTCAGCCTCAGAGACAAAGACCAACAGCTGGACCCTCAGAGTTTCAAGGTTTGAAATAACCTTCTTTATTTGTTGTTTATCCGTCAGGAGCTGGACTACGGGGCGCTGTATGAAGTCCGCACGCCTCACTTCTACGTGGAGGCCAATAAGATGCCGACGGCTCGGGTGAGTGAGAAACAAATCTGTACTTTGGACCCTCAGTTTAATCAGCACATGATTACCGAATGCTTGTCTTATTATATCATTTAGTAAATAATTGGCAGATTCAGTTCCACTTTAACCCTCCTGTTATGTTCGTTCCTCAGGAACAGCAATGATGTTCCTGGGTCAATTTGACCCGGGGCATGTTTAATTATCCAAAAGTGTCAGAAACCACAAAATCCCAATAAACATTGTTTATATCTCATTATTAACTCCATTACTAACCATTTCAATCAATATTTAGTGTAATGGTGTTCTTTACCTCTCAGATCATGGTTCAATGAGGATAATTCACTCGTTTTTCATTAAAAAATGCATCTTAAAGCTTTTTTTTAATGTACTTTGGAAAGACCTACATATAAAATACAAGACTTTTACATGACATTAATTTTTTTTAAATTTTATTTTACATTTTGAATTTTTTTTGGGAGGGACTCGGAGTAGAGCCGCTGCTCCTCCATGTCGAGAGGAGCCAGTTGAGGTGGTTCGGGCATCTGGTGAGGATGCCTCCTGGACGCCTCCCCGGGGAGGTGTTTCGGGCATGTCCCACCGGGAGGAGGCCTCGAGGCCGACCAAGGACACGCTGGAGGGATTATATCTCGCGGCTGGCCTTGGAACGCCTCGGGATTCTCCCGGAGGAACTGGTGCAAGTGGCTGGGGAGAGGGCTGTCTGGACCTCTTTGCTGAGGCTGCTGCCCCTGCGACCCGGATCCGGATAAGCGGGAGACGACGAGATGAGACGAGACAAATTTTTTTTATGGAGTGATGTTGATACATTAACACGAGACACCTCTTCTGTTCATCCAGTGTGACATTAGGGCCGGGGTTATAGAGTAGTGGAAGTTGCTCTACCCACTTGTCCTACACTGTCCCGATAGCTGCCAGCTTGTCTCTTGTCTCTCTCCCGTCTGACAGCCCTTGTCTCTCGATTATCAAATCGGATTACTCTGGAGAAAATATGAAAAGTCTCCGGAGACATTGTGACACAAAATATAGCCCTGCCTGTCTCTGCATCCCACAGACTGGCTGTTAATTCATCCTTTGACTTATAGACCCCAGCCAGGATGAAGACCCCCAGATATGCATGTAAATGCATTTTATCCTGCTCCTTCCACTTCTCCCCTAAAACACACCTTCCTTCTAGATTAGCCATTTCGATAATGATTTTCTGTATTGAGTTGGGCATGACCAGCTCAAAAGCTGACTTGATGTCTGTCCCACGAGTCACTGCCATCCTAGCGGGCCCTGGCACTGTCTTTATTATGCTTTCTGCAGACAGTTTTACCTGAAGTATATTTGGGGATGAAGACCACTGTATTTCACCATTTTTTGATGTGAATGTCTTGCTTGGAGGAATATGAATAGCAGTTTCCTCATTTGGTTCATAATCAGAATCATCAGACTCAGAATTGAATTTTACATGTTGATTAGACTTATTAAGCCAAGCAGAAGAAGTTTCATACCCAAAAAATACTTTTAACTATTTTTTTTTTTAGATTTTTTCATTTTAAAATGGGTCAATTTGACCCCGGAACATAACAGGAGGGTTAAGCTATCACAGATATCAGGATGGGCAATAGGAAATGGGGAGGAAGAAAAAAAAGAATGAAGGAGTGTAGAACTAGTTGAAGCAACTGTATTATGGATTTAAAGTTTTTAACAATTAACCGTGGCGCCCCCCGAGTGGCAGTAAAGACAGCTTGCGGCAGACAGCGGGGTTGTCTCATTGTACTACAAAGCTCATGCCAAGAGATGCTACAATCATTAATATTCTTCACTGTGGGCCTGTGAGAAAGTATTTCTTCAGTGTGGAAGTAAATGTTCTCATGCTGCGTTTCAGTGCACGGTCAAAGCTCTGTACGACTACCGGGCTCAGAGAGAGGACGAGCTGTGTTTCCCCAAACAGGCACTCATCCTCAACGTGGACAAGCAGGAGGGCGGCTGGTGAGCGAGTCTCAGCGTGCGCGTCACTTCCTGCGTGTGTTCATCAACACGCGCAAGCGCTCGTCGTTGACCTCTCGGTTCTCTTTAAGGTGGCGAGGCGACTACGGCGGGAAGAAGCAGCTGTGGTTTCCTGCAAACTACGTGGAGGAGGTCCCCAGTTCTCCCACCAGAGAGCTGGACGAAGCGGTGGGTGTGGAGTGACTCGGGATTATCTTTCTTTGTTTTAGAATCAGTCTTCTTCATCCCTGTGTTTCTCTTGTCTCGTCTCAGTCCACAGAGAACAGTCCTCTGGGAACGTTCCTCAAGGGCTTCATCGATGTCCCCACCTGCCACGTTGGTGAGTCCAGTAAACAGTGATGCTTTACATCAGTGGACAGGTGTGTGAAGGTGATAAACAGATCAGATTTTCTGCTCCCTCTCCCACCCATGACATCAACTTTACAGGATTACACTTTTTTTTTTTTTTTTACTGATTTTCAACCAAAAATATTGTTTGAAAAACTACATTTGATTTGTATTGTACCCAGTATCCCCAGTCTAACTCTACGTCTCGAGCGCCAGCATTACTCTGACTGTTCACACCAGAAACGCATTTCTCCTCCTCTTTCTCTCTCTCACGTCACACGTAGAGCCGATCTTTATAATAATGACCAATAACTTCAACAATGAAGTTAAAAGGACCATGGCCTTGTGTGATGATCTGCCGGGAGGAGCTTCTCTCCTGCGTCTGCTCCTCTGTCTCGCTCTGTTTAGACTCTCAGATTCATTAACGTTTTAATCAAAGGCAAGGCAAGGGCAAGGCAAGTTCATTTGTATAACACATTTCAACAACAAGGCAATTCAAAGTGCTTTACATAGAGCATAAAAGGCTTCAAGACAGAATATAAAAGCAACACACCTTCAGCTCTGCTTTAAAAGACCTGAGAGTTGCAGCAGACCTGCAGTTTACTGGGAGTTTGTTCCAGATATGTGGAGCATAAAAACTGAACGCTGCTTCTACATGTTTAGTTTTTACTCTGGGGACAGAAAGCAGCCCTGTCCCAGATGACCTGAGAGGTCTGCTGTAGATGATTCATATCATAGCAGCAGATCAGAAACGTATTTTGGCCCTAAACTATTCAGCGCTTTAGAAACCAACAGCAGTATGTTAACATCAATTCTTTGACAGACAGGAAGCCGGAAAGCTAGAAACTTAAAAACACAAAGTTTTGCAGTAATAATTTTTACAAGTGCTTTCAGGACACATTATTGTATTACTTAAATTTACATAGTTATGGTCCACAATGATATGTTGAGGGAGACATGATTTCCGCCCATGCCCCACACATCATCACACATCACATATTAAAGTTGTTGTATCTAGCTGTAATTTTACAATCCAACTTTTTTGCTGCATTGTCATATTTTTTTTATTCCTTAAAATCAGATTTTAAGCTGCTTTTAAAATTCAGATTCAACAAAGGTCAGTTGTTGGGGTGAAACTGTCAAAAAGGCTGTGGCCATGTTGTTTACCCCCCCCCCCCCCCCCCATCTGTTTGTCCAGTGGTTCATAAAGACGGGAAGAACTCGAGGCCGTTCGTGTTCACCATCCACTCCCAGCACCTCTCCTCTCACCCGGTCCAGACCCTGGACGTGGCCGCGGACAGTCTGGAGGATCTGACCGGCTGGGTCGGCAAGATCAGAGAGGCTGCACAGAACGCTGACGCACGGGTCAGTGTGACGCCCTACACACACACACACACACACACACACACACACACACACACAAGGAATTTCCATATTGTTGTCAGCCCTGACTTAATGTTATTGTTTCCTTATCTCCATGGTAACAGATGCAGGAGGAGAAACAGATGGAGAGGAGGAAAAAGATTGCAGTGGAGCTGTCGGAGCTCGTGGTTTACTGCAGACCCGTCCCCTTCAATGAAGACAGTCAGAACCAAACTTCTCTCACTTCTCTCGCTTTTACTACAGCTTCTGTGTTTGTGTCTCATTGTCTCTTGAATTTGCTGCTGTCGTTTGCAGAGATCGGGACGGAGCGAGCGTGTTATCGGGACATGTCGTCCTTCCCAGAGACGAAGGCAGAGAAGTTTGCGACGCGCGGCAGAGGGAAGCGCTTCCTGCAGTACAACCGCCGCCAGCTCTCCAGAGTTTACCCCCGAGGACAGAGACTGGATTCGTCCAACTACGACCCGCTGCCCATGTGGCTCTGCGGCTCCCAGCTGGTCGCACTCAACTTCCAGACTCCAGGTCAGTGTTTGTGCATTTATATTTGTGTGTGTCTTAGCCTCTATTAAGATAAGACACACAAAGAGATCCTTTTTCGACTCCTGCCTCCGGTCTCAGTGAAGCCAGACTGCATCATATGGGATGTAGACAGGTTCAGTTTTTACATCCCACAAAAGAGAAACACTCAGGGTCCAGCTCCTGAACTGGGATGTGTACTCAATATGTGTCTGTAGATAAACCCATGCAGCTGAACCAGGGCTTGTTCATGCTCGGAGGAAGCAGCGGCTACGTCCCCCAGCCCGACATCATGAGGGACGACGCCTTTGACCCTTTCGACAAGGACACGCTGCACGTGGAGCCAATCACCATCCAGCTACAGGTCAGACTGATCACGGAGAGAACAAGAAAAAGTCCTCAGCTTGGATCAAACTAGTAGTTTGATTAAAGTTAGTGTATCTGTCTCTCACCTTCTTCCATGTCTCCCTCCAGGTGCTGGGGGCCCGTCATCTGCCTAAAAATGGCCGCAGCATCGTCTGTCCCTTCGTGGAGGTGGAGATCTGTGCAGCTGATTACGACAGCTTTAAGTGCAAGACAGACGTCGTAGGTAAGACGGTTAAAAAAAAACCCACAACAGTGCTCCTTCACTTCACATTCATGCTGCACTGGGCGTCCTGACTCTCTCTCTCTCTCTCTCTCCATCTCCCTCCCCCTCTCTACACCCCCCACTCACCAGCTGATAACGGTCTGAATCCTGTGTGGGTACAGAAGCAGTTTGTGTTCGACATCCATAACCCCACCTTCTCCTTCCTGCGCTTCACCGTCTACGAGGAGGACATGTTCAGTGACCCCAACTTCCTGGCACAGGCGACCTATCCTATCCGTCTGCTCCGGACAGGTGAGCGTTCGTTTATCACCCACTCACCAAACACAAAGCTGAGATTGGACATTTTTACAAACGTTGGGTTATGTTCAATCACAAAAAAATTTAAATAAATGGTATTTTTTATATAAGTGATTCTTACAGTCAGAGCTCCAGCTCTTTTTTTTTTTTTAACTTTAGGTTAATATATATATAAATATATATCGCCTTAAGTCATATACGTCCTGGTGTGCATATACACCCAACACATCCATGCACATACATATACACAACTAAATGCCAACAACTAGGAGTAATTACACCTCATTTCCCTCGCTGGTGAGTGATCTGTGTTGTGTGTTGTGTGTTGTGTGTTGTCAGGCTACAGGAGTGTACCTCTGAAGAACAGCTACAGTGAGGAGCTGGAGTTGGCGGCACTTCTGGTCCACATCGAGATCGTCAACGCAAAGGTACACAACAGTTGAGTTCCTCTCTCTCTCTCACTGACAACTGAAATCAATATCACCATATAATGAAGAATGATTTTAATTTGTACATCAATCTACATCACAGTATGGAAAATTGTTCCCAAAAAATCACATAAAAAGAGCCAATTAGTACCGTGATGAGTTATTAACAGAAAAGCTTGTTATTTATTTTCTTATTTATTTATTTATTTATCTTGTACGAAGTCAGTACTTTGAACCAAAAATATGATTATATTGTCAAATAAATAATAAATATTTTTTAACATGCTGTAATTAACATTTGTGATTGACATTTTTTTCAAAAAAAAAAAAAAAAGGCTATTCAATAATCTATTATTATATAATCTGTTATTTACAGATATGGCTGTAAATAACTGATTATTGAATAACCTTTTTCTTTCTTATTTTATATTTCTTTATTTTATATTATTGGCCCAAATTTTTTCTAATTAATATATTTTTTGTGGTTTTATTATTTATGTATTACAGTGCAGTGGAGTTGCTTTATCTTTTCGTATCTCCAAGTTGACTTTTCTTTTTTTTTTTAGGTCAAAATGTTCATATTTGTCTTCCCTAAAATTTGTCTTTTGAAATTAATGTCACAATATAATTAAGAATATTTGTGTTTTATTTGTCAATCTATTTCACACTCTGGAAAACCGTTTCACAAATTATGTAAAATTAATACTCATGTACTGAATCAGAAAAATCTTTTAAAGCAATAATTCAAACTCACTTTGTTGGGATTTTATACAATTTACAATGAATCAGAGAATTTTGTGGAAAAATAACAAGTGACTGGCATTTTCTACATTGACTATTTTATAAACCGAACAATTAATTAAACAATAATCATATTATTCAGTAATAACAAAAATCATCTGCAGACCTTTTTGTAAATATTTTTGTATTATATTTACTGTACATTCTATGTTTATAAAAATGCATTCATGCAGGAGGAAGACGACGAGAACTTGTACACGTCCATCCAGCTGCTGCGGGATCGAACCAGCGAGCTGTCCAACCAGGTTTCCCTCCTGGAGAGGTCGGGCTCAGCGGACCTCAGCTACCAGCAGAGTCTGGAGGAGCTGAGAGCGGCTCAGGATCAGCTGAGTGAGCTGATGGAGGCTCGAAACCGCAGGTGACTGAGCTTACCACAAAGAAACATGTACTGACTGACATCCAATTAAATTACATGTATTTTACATTTATTATTTATGATGAAAGGATTCATTGATCCAACAGAATATTAATTAACAATTTTGACAAAACATTTTCTGGTTGCCAGACTTTCACATGTGAGGATTTGCTGTTTTCTAACTTTTTTTATTTGAACAATAACAATTATTTTCTTGACAAATTTTTTGGTCTAAACAGCAAAAAATATCCATCCATCCAGAACACAAAGTGACCAACGGTCCAACGACCTTCAGTTTATTATCACAGACGACTAAGAGCATCAGAAAATATCCACATTTCAGATCCTGGAACCAGTTAAATTTTGATATTTTATGAATTGTCAAAATAGTTGCAGATTAATTTGATTCCATTTCCTAGATTTATTAATCAGGTAATTGTTTCAGCTCTTATTTTTTATATATACTTTTATATATTTGCATTAACTTTACTTATAATACATAATGTCCTTAACATGGCAGGAAATATATATTTATTAATAATTTTTTTGTTTTTCATTGTTTATTTTGTGTTTGTCATGATATCGACACATTTAAGCCCTAAACCTATTAACATCGAATGTGATTGGTTTAACTTAAAACCTCGATTCAACACAAATTTTTTGCTGTTTTTGTCTAATTATTAATTACTTATCAAAATTGTTGCAGATTAATCTGTTGTCAAATGCCAAATCAAGTCTTTTTTGTATAATCTAGCATTACTAGATTATATTACTATTAGATTACTTATAAACTGTATTTAACATGACAAAAATATCCAGACATAAGCACAAACCAGAGCTGTAAGTAACAGTAACATGAGAAATAATCCGCTTTTTCTTTTCTTTTCTTTTCTTTTCTTTTCTTTTCCAGGCTGATGGAGAAGAAGAGGAGGGAGAAGCTGAGGCAGCAGGTGGCAGCAAAGCGCAGTTAATCCTCCCGTCCACCAGAGAGCGATCGACTCAAACGCAGACTGTGCCTGACGCTTGCTGCCACCAGGTGCTGAGCAGCGACAGCCCGACAGAGGGAACGGGCTTTCTACAGCAGCGACATGCAATCTGTTTATAACTGATGACAAACACACACACACGTTCCTTCACAATAGATTGTGAGATTTGACAGCAGCGTGCTGAGCGAACAGCGGAGGAACAAGTGAGAGTGTGAACGACAAACAGAAGCATCTCATGGACAAAAACTAAACAAACAACAAAAAACTAAGCTATAAAAACAATCACAGATTTCAGGCTGGAACACATTAAGAGTGAGTTGATGTTTTCATGACGAACAACAGACAGGACAAGTGAAGGGTTCTGAACACCGACAAAAACTTGTTTTACTTGTTAATTCGCGGCATTAGAACTGCAACAAGTAGTTGATTAGTTAGTTAATTAGCCCTTGGACAGGAAGTTTAATTGTCAACTATTCATCAAATAATCATTTTTTGAGTTAATTTACCAAACATTTGATGGCTCCACCTTTTCAAACGTGAGGATTTGATGCTTTTCTTTGTCGTACGTGACACGAAACTGAACTGTTGGTCGAACAAAACAAGGCATCTGAAGACAGACATTTATCACTGTTTTCTTTCTTCTAATCAGTGATGAAAATATGTTCCAGTTGTAATCATGATGCGTTGGTCTGGTAGAGACGCTTAATGTAGTGAATGTCACCTACTTATCATAAATTTGCTGTTGGCCAACTGCCACCAGAACAAAACGTCACAAAAGAAAATCACATCTCAGTTTTACAACAAAGATGAACCCTGTCCAGGACAGTGAAGAGTAAAAGAACAAACAAACCTCTCTTATGAGTTAGGATTTAGATTATTGACAAGTTTAGAAAACTACAGAACTCAAATAAAAATGTAAATTCAGTCCTTAACTCATCAGATTTGCTCTTACTGTGTTTCAGGCTTTAGTGAGAAAAAACAGGATCAAAGGGAGAAGAAATCTCAGGTTACACAAATGGAAGGGAAAAAAAACCTTGGTATGTGGATAGAAAAAGGGAGCAGTGGGCACACGTAGGAAAAAGGAAATATCATGTATGTGCCTTTGATGAGTGTAGTTACTCTAATGCTTCAGACTGACTGCTTTCTCTACAACTGGAATAGTGGCCCTTTAAGGGACAACTACTAACAAACTGGAGGAGGAATCAGACCACTACTCATGAAATGGATTCCATAGGGATTTAAAGACTGACATCTGTTCCTCCAAATCAAGACCAAGTCTTTCATGAACTCCGCCTTCAGGTGACGGGACGGGGGGGGGGGGGGGGCTTCCTGTCACTGCTAGGTCTACCTGGGACTGTGTCGAACTGTGTCAAACAAATCCTCACCAAACCACACCGATAAGGTCTTCTTCAAAGGGCTCTAAACATATGAATACTCCCTTTATAAAGAAGCATGAGAACAGCGAGCGAGCGGGGGGGAGGAGGAGGAGGAGGAGGAGAGAGGAAGACCACGTTCCTCACAACGTCCCCCTGGATGTCACCTGCACACGGACTGAGGTGTGTCCATTTTGACTGGACACACACACACACACACACACACACACACACACACACACACACACACACACACACACACACACGACAAACAAGGGCTAATCACAGAAAACTAGCAAAGCACTCTTTTTAACCTGCCGGCTCAGATTTCACACCTCACGTCTGAACCACGCGACTGGAACCAGCTCCCATCATCCGGCTCTAATCAATGACTGTGGTTCAACTGGTCCTGGATCTGCCAAATTTGACCCACTGCATGGCTTCATATCTAATAACACCCCACCCCCACCCTCTCTCTGTAGCTACTCCACCTTCCCATCATCCTGTCTAATTTCTCATTGTATATAACTTTTATTTATCAGACGGGTGTAGACCCTGTTTTAATAGATGAAAGAACACACTAGGGGAATGATAATGGACTTCAGATTGAAGATACTGTAACTTTATGTAGAAATGAATATTGTGTACTTGGAGCTCCCTTTAAACGTCCCCATAGACACAAACCTCTCTCTTTCTCCCTGCGCTGCAGTTGCACCGGGTAGGGACTTCTATGCAAAGGTTGTCTTCTTGGCCTATAGCCATTGTGTATTAGGCAATTTGACTCAAGGTGTCGTTTTCTCTCTGTATCTATGCTAACTGTCCAGTATTATTACTCTGCATTACAAATCCTGTGCAAGTTTCCATTTAATAAAGCTCTTTCATGTACGCCGGTCTGTTGTATTGAGACGAACACACATGTCCGTGTGGTGTTTTTTTTTTATATAATACATACAGTCAAAACTGACAATTCAATCCAGATCTTCAGATCCTTAAAGAATATGTTTAATTATAAAACCACTATCAATATAATCATCTACAGGGTTTCAGCATCCACTCACAGTATGTTGGACACTGAAAGACCTGTTGGTAGATTCATAAGCAGACCCAACCAGTGACATGAATATGGATATAAAAGAGCTGCTTGCTGGTATGATGCCTGCTTGATGTAGCTTTAGTGAATTATTCACTTCCAAGTAGATGGAGAGCAGAAAATTAACCAAACTTCTTAGCTGATGATTTAGTGGTTAAATGAGTTAGTTATAATCTGAAAAGGAACAAACCATGGGCGTCGAGTGGCGTAGTGGTCTAAGCAGGCGCCGCATGTGTAGAGGCCACAGTCCTCGCTCCCGCATCGGACGGCCCTTGCTGCATGTCATTCCCCCTCTCTCTGCCTCCCCATTTCCTGTCTCTCTACTGTACTATCCAATAAAGGCATAAAAAGCCCCAAAAAATATACTTAAAAAAAAGAAAAGAAACAAACTGAAGCAAGACCTCAGGGAACCGTAAACATGTTTTAAAAAATAGTTTTTCTTTTGTGGAACCTAGATTGTTGACTTAGACTTTGACTGCATGTTTTATTAAAAAATACATTTTATTTCTACCCACCACTTACCCAATTTGGCTTCTTTCTTCCCAAAAGTTGGGAAAATCAAAATCTGACCAATGAGCTCGCTCTGTGTCATTTGTGATAACCTGCAGTTTGGACGTTAGCAGTGGCTGTGACAGTCTCTTGTTGTAAATGATCTACTGTATGAAGCAAAAAGTATAGAAAATTAAGAGTAAATCACAAATAAACTGGGTTATTATATTGTAGGAACATAAGAAAGATTACATGTAAATGCACAATTTAAGTGCTAAAATATCCACTCTCTGCTTAACATTCAATTATGACCCCATTATCATGAGCAGTGGAATGATTAGCTGATTAATCGATTAGTCTGTTTTAATAATCAATTCATCAAGTCAGCGAAAAATGTCTAACGTTTCAACGTTCCAGCTTCTCAGTTGTAACGATTTGCTGCTTTTTGTCTTGTGTAATAGTAAACTGAATATCTTTAGATTTTGTGCTGTTAATGGGACAAAACGAAACATTTTATATTCTATTTCGATTAATCAGATTCTAGATAAAATACCATTTATATGAAACTACTGAAATGACTTGATATTTAATATAACATTTTAGAAATAATGTATTCATATCTACATTTATTTATGTCTGAAAATGATATTTTAGACTAGACAATGCTGACACTTCAGCATTCAGTATCAAATAAATTACAGGTTACATGTTAGAAAACCTAGAAAACCATTGATATGAATAAATACAGAGCAAACATACTACAATCATGAATTTCTGAAATAATCTAATAAATATCTAAACCTAAGCTCATTATTATAAAATCACAATAACAGTTTATTTCAGGTTATTTTTATTTAATAAGAGCATTTTTTTTAATGTCCAAAAGCTTCAAAATCATCAATGTTTGCTGATTGTGAAAGAAAAATGACTATTTATGAAAGCTTTATGAAAGTTTTTTGGATCTCAAGAGTTCACCTCAGAGATCAGGTCTTTCTGTGTTTCAGTGCAGCACGAAGCATACATTAAAGGATTACGCATCAAACAGGAGAGGCTGATCCATACTGAGATTTTCAGTGACAGAACAGTTAACCATTTACCTCCCTCCTGTCAGAATGGAGTTTCTGCAGAAGGGTTTATTTTAAACCTTGTGCAACTTCGACAGTTCTTCTGACCATGCTCCCAAGATTTTAGTGGGTAGTTTCATTTTTAAGTAAATACTTTGGACATCCAGTGACAAGACGATGAGTTCCCTGCAGCATGTGAATCCCAGAGTGAGGGGGATCAGAGCCTCACCACACAGTGCTCTGCAGAGTTTGGCTGCACACATCACACAAGAGAACACACAGGTAAGTGCCAGCAATCTCATTTATTTATCTAGTTTTTACACTTGGCCTCAAAATCCCCGAAAAAAACAATTGTGGTTTGATTCAATGAGTAAATGCTGGATATCTACAAACATAAACCTTGATATGAGGAAGTCCACAACTTGTTGCCTTCAGATGCAAAGAGGCTAAAAATGTCGAGTCCAGGTGGCAACAGGTGACAGCTTCCAACAAACCAATGAAAAACCTACAGTGGTGGAAAGTAACTAAGGACATTTATTCAAGTACAATTTTTAGGTGCATGAGTATTTCCATTTTGTACTTCTTTCTATTTCACTAGATTTCACAGAAAAACATTGTATTTTTGCTACTTTATTTATCGGACATGTCTTGCAATAGAAACGTTTTTTTCTAATTTATCATTATAAAGTAAATGTTGGTTTCACAGTGTAATGGCTATAGAACTATGAAACCATCTACAATTAGACTGGTTTCCTATAAGCCTCATTTTCACTGTGCAATTCTCATTCTGCCACCGGGTTCAAAATCTTCCAAACACTTCCAGATTTCCCCATTATTTAGGATTCTTTTAAATCCATGGTGGTTTTATGATCCAGACTGGACAAACCCTTCCTGCATTAACATGTGTTGTCCTGCAGAGGGCGCAGAAATCCTTCAGAGAGGTGATTGATGTCAGCTCAGGTGACTCCCACCAAGCAGGAATGAAACCCATCTCATTTGTTCGACAGGTTAGTTTTGTCATTTGTGCTTTTGCCTGATTCTGTGAGCTTTGATTGGACATAAGATCAGGAAACTGAAATTTGTCATTTTAGGATGTATTGGTGATAATCAGAGCTGTCTGTGTGATGATGTCATTCATCTATTCAATGCATTTGTTTTTAAGAATTTTAATGAATATGTTTGTTGCATTTTTTGTCACTGTCATGCTATTTAGACTGCTGTTATTTTATTACATTGTTAACAACAACATGTTCTAAGTTTTTTTTATGGCTGAACGATATGCAAAAAAATCATATTGTGATTATTTTGGCAGATATTGCAATTGCAATATGAGTCTCAATTTCAGTTGGAATAATCATTTTTGCATTTAATTTTCATATTATATATATCTAATATATATATCTGCTCCCCAACTCTGGAACTCTCTCCCACCAGACACCTGTAACATTGTTTCTTTACCCCAGTTCAAATCAAGACTCAAAACTCATCTGTTTCAATCTGCATATTTGCTATAATTTCATTGTTTTCTTTTTAACTGTCTATTGTTTTTATTATTTTTATTGTGTTTTTAATCTTCTGTAAAGTGTCCTTGAGTGCTGTGAAAGGCGCTGCCAAATAAAATGTATTATTATTATTATTATTATATATATAGATAAATGATGGGGCTTATACCAAAAAAGCATCTTCCCTTACATTTGTATAATATGATTTGTCGTTTGATTTGTTGTTTGGCTGTTGTGACACATTTGATCATTATCAAATCAATTGCAGCTAGTTTGTGTTATATGCTTTGCAACCATGTTCTCTGGTGCTGCTTTCTTGACAAGGATACTATTGTGAAACATTCTCTAACTTCTGGGCCTATTTTCTCAGGTCTTGGCAGCGTGTCTGCACCCTCAGCTGCTGAGAGACAGAAGTCTTCCTCTGGACGCCAGGCTGAGGGCTCAGAGTCTCCTGGAGGTCTGTGAGGGAGGAAGTGCAGGTGAGGATCAGAGAACGGTCTTTTCTGTACAACCTGTCTTACATTTAAAACATCAACAACTGTATAGAAACAGCATATCCAACGACTGATCCATTAGGTTCCTACACTGACTCCTCCGGCATGCCTCATGTCAGGAAAAGCATCGCTGAGTTCATCACGAGACGAGATACCGAAATTCCTTCATACACCAAAGACATCTTCATTTCTGCTGGTTCTCAAAGGGCCTTGATGGTAAAAATACGCTGTCATTATAGACGCCACACTCAGCTAATATCTACTGGTATCTGGATGTTAAAGGATAATTCTGGTCATTATTTCTATCAGTTATGGTAAAATTATATTCATCAAGTTAATCGCTGAGATCTGGGAACACAGCAACAGACTCAAATGAGGCAAAAAAATAAAAGTAGTCAAGACAGAAACTCAGCCAGATGATCTAAACCAGGGGCTCATCAACTAAGTGGTTTGCCCAACATGAACCACATAATGCTTATCAATATATCAATAATCAATATAATAATTTCACTGTTTAGCTTCATTTTCTCTAAAGAATAAGCTTGATTTGGGCGCCTCGGTGGCTCACCTGCTAAAGCGCGTACCACATGGGCTTAGTCCCAACCGCAGAGGCCATGGGTTCCAATCTGACCCGTGGCCCTTTCCTGCATGTCGACCCCTCTCTCGCTCCCTGACTTTCCTGTCTCTCTCTCACTTCACCATCTGAATAAAGGAAAAAATGCCCCCAAAAAAGTAACTAAAAGTTTGTTTGAACTCTGCCTCATCATGTGACTGCTTGTGTTTCCTGCCCCATTAGATTTCTTTTGAATAATATCTCCACGTTCTTAGATATCAACAATTAATGTGGTCGTAACTGATAGAAATTATAGCGAAATTAACAAAATAAGACCCAAGTTGAAATAAACTAGAATTATCCTTTAAACTTCCTAATGTGTTAGAAAAGGGTTTTTACACCTTATCCATATATATATATATATACACACACATACATACATACTTTCATATTTTATGCACTTTAGACCTCATTTAACTCACAGTGTACAAATAATTTTTAATTTAAAATAGGCACAATGTATTTAATCTATTTTATTACTTGTGATGAACAGAACAGGAAAATATATTGTCAGACCACGAGAGGCTAATGATAAACAATAATAATAATTCCAACATTAGCTTGTTTGTATTTTCTTATATGTTAAAATGAGCAATGATAAAAAAGACAGTAGGGGGGTCTGAGTGGGATCATATTTGCTCCGTGTTCCTGTACAATAGAATTCAAGTCAATTATTGACATGAAACATAATTTTAAAATTATCACACAAAACTATGTATTTCTCTGCATGAACAACCTATAAATACTACCGGGTCAAATTTGACCCATAAGATGTAACTTTTTCTTTTTTAATAGACATTTAAAACAAAAAAATAAAAATCATCAAAATGTATTTTATTGTATTATTACATCGTTGTTGAGGATGCAATGAAGAAAAACTTAAATTAAACCCAAAATCACAAAATCTAATATTATTATTTTTAATCGTTCTGTTGTGTTAAGGTGCTTGTGAAACTGCTGGCCAGTGGGGAGGGGGAGACTTGGACCGGTGTGTTGACCCCCCTGCCCTGCCCTCACACACTGCCCATGCTGCTGGACGAGGCCGGGGTGACGCTGGTGCCGTATCAGCTGATCGAGGAGCGAGGCTGGGCTGTAGACCTGGACGAGCTGCAGCGAGCCTTGACGGTTGCTAGGCGGCACTGTGAACCCAGAGCCATTTACATCAGCAACCCAGGAAACCCCACAGGTAAACATCGCACAGCGGCGAGGTAAGAGACACCTGTGTAAACCTCCCTGCTGTCATCACCTCTGCATGCTGCTGTTTGTCTCTGCAGGTCATGTGCAGGACAAGAAATCAATAGAGGAGGTGATTCAGTTTGCTGCAGCTGAGAGACTCTTTCTGTTGGTTGATGAGGTGATTATAAACTATAAACTGGATTTCATTCAGTAACTGGCAGCCTGCTGCTCACATTAAGTATCTATTCCCCCCTGTGCACTGCAGGTGTACCAGGACAGTGTGTACGGGCAGGACACGCAGTTTATTTCCTACAAGAAAGTCCTGTTTGAGATGGGAAAAGAGTTCTCAGAGACAGTGGAGCTGGTCTCCTTTCACTCTTTATCCAGCGCCTGCATGGGAGAGTGAGTTCTGTGATGGTCATTGTCATTTTGTGTGCTTCCACACAGGACTCTTTCTTTGTGATAGGGTTTTGCTTTGGCACGCTAATAGACTGTATATAAACACGCTAACGCTTGCTACGTTATCCGTTGCTCTTTTATAATATTGTAAAAACTACAGCCAGATATAAAAAACAACACAAACCTTTTTATCGCCTTTCATACCTTCTTTTTGTCGCCTCTTCTTTCTTTTCTGTGTGAATGTAATACCTCAGTAACGCCTTAACGGACTTTCTTCAAATGTGGTAAAAGCATTCACTTGTTCTCAAGGATGAACTGATTATATTTTGGTGGCTAAAGGCCAAAGGTCAAGGTCCTGGGGACCTCACAAAATGTGGTTTTGGCCTTGTGAATGCAATATCTCCAGAACTCCTCAAGGCAATCTCTTCAAATTTGTCACAAATGTCCATTTGGACTCAAGGACAAACTGATTTGATTTTCAAAGGTCAAAGGTCAAGGTCAGTATGACCTCACGAAACACTTTTTAGCCATGACTCAAGACTTCACACATCAATTATGACATAATTTCACAATATTTGAATATTTTATATGACTTTGGATAAACAGGGATGTAACCTGAAACTAGTCTGAAAGAATCTGTTTTTTTGGGGGGTTTTTTTGGTTGCATCAACCCACCTACTAGAAAGTCTATACAGTATATATTAAATCTTCAAGTAACTTCTCTATCTGTGCCCTAGGTGTGGTCTGAGGGCAGGATTCATGGAGGCAGTCAACATGGACCCTGGGGTGATGCATTACGTTGATACCATGCTGTGTACTGATATCAGCACTCCAGTCATGGGACAACTCGCTCTGGATCTCATGGTGAACCCGCCGAAGCCTGGAGACCCTTCCTATGACACGTACAAACAGGTGACACACATCCCCTCCGGTACCGGGCCCTGTTCTATGTTTTATTACAACTTACAATCTCTGTCGTTCTTTCCATCGAAGGAGATTCTCCTCACTCAGACCACTTTGTCCCAGAATGCTCAGCGGGCTTGGCAGGTCTTGAACAGTCTACCGGGGATGAGCTGTCAGCCTGCAATGGGGGGAGTCTACCTTTATCCCAGTCTGCTTTTACCACCTGAGATCATAGAGCAGGCCAAGGTGAGAAGAACTGGTAACACTTTATAATAATATAATGATAATTATAAACTTCATTTATAGAGCACATTTCATACAAGAGCTGAAAGTGCTTTCCAATAAAAAACAAATCAAATAGTAAAATAAAATAAGGGCGGATTGAAAGACAATGAAAGACAATAGATGATAAAATAAGTAAATGAAAATAAAAACAGACACCAGTAAGAATAGTAAAATATGAGAAAATCAATTAAAAGCCAAGTCAAATAAATACGTTTTCAGGTGTCATTTAAAAATGTTCACTGAACATTTCTTATGGCAGGGTATTTTAAAGTTTATTAAAAAAAAAAGCTGAACTGCCTATTTTCTGGTGCATAAAATTGTGAGTAAAAACATTCCCCCAAATGAATGATGTAGTTTTGGGGTTGAAAGCTCAAATCTTGGAATAACAAGGCAAGTTTATTAATGAGGCACCATTCAGACACAAGGCACGGAGGCATGGAAACACATCACAAATAGAACATCAAGATGACATTAAAGGAGCATTTACTAACAATAAAAACAAATTTGAATAGATGAAAATAAAAACATTTGAATAAGTCATAAAATCAGGTCGTAGACTTAGGACACCATTTTTAAAGGAGTGCTGCAGTGACAAAAGACATTAACAACAAGCTAATGCACGAGACTAAAAAGATGTTATGTATGCGATCTATTGGTGAGCTGTAGCGAACAGTGATGTTTTAAAGCCCTGACATAAATGAGCTGACAGTTTCAGCAGATCTCAGGAAACTTGTTCCACAGGTGAAGAAAGAGAAACTGAAAGCTGCTTCACCTTGTTTGGGTCTGACTCTGGGAACACTGAGTGAACCTGTCCCAGATCACCTGAGGGGTTTAAATGCCTCATCAGGCCCAAGACCATTTAGTGCTTTATAGACAAGTAGTAGAATTTTTTCATTTCATTTTGCTTTTTTTGGAAATGTTTCCAATTTTCCATTCATTTCTTTACAATATAAAATTCAACTTGTACTGACTTTTTTTTTTTTACAGACTTCCATAATTTATCTTAGTAAACATTATTTTTTCTTCTACTCTCGTCAGTGTCACATTATTTATAGAGTTACGTTGTGTGATTTGCAGCAAATGAGCTGAAACGTGCATAAACATTTAGCGGTGCAGTGTTAACAGACATGGTGGGGTTGTAGTGTATATATAACAACAGATAATCAGATTCAGAGTCAGATCACTGAAAAGGGTTGTTGCTCCTCACAGTGGATAGATACTTTTCCATTTTATGCCAAAATAAAGTTAATTAGAAATAAATATGAATAATAAATTGCAGTCCTGCAAGGAGCATTAATGTTTAATCAAATAACAAAATACATATGTAGTGGTTCTGTCAGTTACATCAATAATGAGATACTGAAACATTCACATCATCTCTGTTTTTAGATGTTAGAGGTGGAGGCGGATGTTCTGTACTGCCAGAGGTTACTGCAGGAGGAAGGTGTATTAGTAGGAGCAGGTTGTCAGCACGGTGCGGCGACTGTCGGACACCACCTGAGGTAAGAGACGTGAAGTTGGCCACATCAGTCAGGTGCTGTATGTAGCGCTGTCTCTAACACGACTCCCTCTCAGGTTATGTGTCCTTGTTCCACCTGACACTCTGGAGGAGGTCCTGGCTCGCCTCGGCTCCTTCCACCATCGCCTCACGGACAGATTTCCGACACAGTGGTTCTCAAAGTGGGGTCCGGGGAACCCCAGGGGTCTTGGAGGAAAGTCCCTGGGGGTCCCCAGCAAAGAGGGGAATAATTTATTGTCACTAAATTCCATCCAATGACAGAATATATGACTATTTTGGTTCATGGGTTTCAAAAACTCTCTTTAATAAAACATGCAAAAGCAAAAATCTTAGATGGGGCTCTGTGGTCTAATTTGTGTCAGTTCAGGGTCCTTAATGTGAAAAAGTTGGAGAAAGACAGCAAGTGTGGACAGAGATGATGCATTACAATTGTTGCCTGGTTCAGTCACTGAGTCATTTACAGAGGAATACGAGAAAATATTACTAGATATTTGGAGACAGGAATATTGTTGTGAAGTTTCACATATTGATTATGTGAAATAAAATTAAAAATAAATAAACAAAAGTACAAAAATAAAAAAGAAATACCATCACAACAGGAGTAAAACTGGATGGTATAAACTGCACCATAACATTTATCCTTTCCCAGAGGTTATGAAGATTTATGTGACAGTACTACATGAAATAAACTATGGAAATAAAACACTACGACAATTTCATGATATGGTAGATATATGAAAGAAATGTGACCAAAACTCTGTGTATTGATATAAATCAATGTGTATAAAAATATGATAACACAATATTTATGTGTGTGCAGTGTGAGGTTTTGGAATGGAGGGCACAGGTGCCACAGACACAAACTCAAAAGGTTGGAACAAGTTTTATGACTTAAAAACAAATTCAATTAAAAGTTAACACTAACACGAATTTAAACACTTAAACATGTGTGGCAATCTCATCACAGCCAAAATATAAATCTGAAGAAACCTAAAGATTGGATTGGATTTTGGATTTCTTCAGATTTTACAATGTTTTAGTGTTAAGGTACAATCTGTCCCTACGCTATTTTAAGTCAAAGGTCAAAGGTCAAGGTCTCGGTGACCTCACAAAACACGGTTTTTGCCTTGTGAACTGATATCTCAGTAATACTTGATCTTAATCGTGGTGACCTCACAAAACATGTTTTTGGCCATAACTCACAAATGTATACACTAATTATGACATAATTTCACTCAAAGGTCTATAAGGATAAAATTAAATGATAACATTTTATATCCAAAAGGTCAATGATGTCACTGTGACATCATAATGTTCTGCAAAAACACCTCTGACTATTATTCAATGCTGTAACTCAGGGAGATTGTGACCATATTTCCTGCGACTTGGCTGGTTGGTGGAGGGATACAACCGTGAGGTGGTAATTCTAGTTTTTGTTAAGTTAGGTAGTTGCAACAATAAGACAAAGATCAGTTTGCTGCAGCTGGAATTAAACTTCTTCACAGGCACATGTAAAGGTGTCAGTACAGATTTGAAATGGTGACCTTTACGTTTGACACAAATTGGGCTTGCACATTTGATGGAGGTGACAAAATATGGAAATCACCAAAATGTATAATTTTTTTGTTTGTCAAAAAGTAATTCACAAACAAAGAGATATGCAGTAAGCTATCAGAGCTTACAGATTGACATTACTAATGTTTTAGGATAAGTCGAGGGAAACAAAACATCATAATTAACTCAATAGCAAGGTATCACTTTCATCACAGTCTATGTTTATTAAAAAAAAAAAGCCGAACACATCAGCCACGTGACTAACAAACAGGGAAACAGGAGCTCTTTGGCTTAAAACTGGAGCCTCAAATGTCTTTAAAGGTCCCATATAGTATAAAGTGAGTTTTCCATGTCTTTTTTGATTATAAACAGGTCTAGGTTTTAGATTAATACTGTGAAAGTATCAAAGTCGACAGATAAATGCACACAGCCTGTATTCAGAAACTGGGGCACATTATACAAAACACCTTAAGTTAAGATTTTCCTTAAGGTTTACTTAAAATGTTAAGTAAAGGAGAGAGGAGAGACTCAGAGCCTCCTCTCTTCTGATTGGCTCACAGACCTGTTGTTACTAGAGCTCCATGTAAAACTACACTGAGATGGTCTTTGGTTCTTAAAACCACAAATATATCTTCTTATGGCTCAACACTTCAAATAAAACACAAGAAACGTAAAATATGGGACCTTTAAAAACACAGTGGTGTTTCATCAGTGCTTTCAGACAGTGAGTAGAATTTGCTTTCGCTGTGTAAATTGATTTGAATGGTTTATAACAGAGTCAGATCGTACAAGCAACATGTGTTCAGTTCATCCCTTTGGCTCATGTGCCAATGCATTTAAATCTCATACTGCAGAACACTGTGTGGTGAGCGGTCTGGAGATGAGGGGTTAAAGCTCCTCTTTCTTCTTTAAGATTATCTGCCGCACCATTTCAGCTATTTTGGGTCGGATTTCTTTGACAGAAACCTTTGGTCCCCAAGCGTCCACCACTTTGCCGTTTACATCAATGAGATACTTCCAGAAGTTCCAGTCAGGCTCCTTCCCAGAAGACTCTGCAGGAAACCAGAGGAGAAGAAAGATTTAAAAACATTCTTTCAAACAAGGGTTTAGCATCCATTTGGACTTCCACCTAGAAACAATTTCACCCTTCTTCTGTCGCCTCTCATTTTATCCATCCCACAAGTGTGTCTTTTCTTTCTGACATCGCTTTTTCTTCTTTTTGTCTCTGGTATTGTTTTTTCATTCCAAGTCCCACTTGGATTTGAGGATGAACTGATTGGATTTTGGTGGTCAAAGGTCAAAGTTCAAGTAGTCAGTAGTCAAGAGTCTATCTTTGTCAAACTAGCCCCTGCACCAACAACATCACATCTCACTCACCGACAAGATACTTGTAGACGTTGTTGGCTCCAGTTCCGACGACAGCGATCTTGCTGAACAGAGGGAAGGAGACTCCGTAGACTCTGCGTACGAAGCTGTCGATGTCCTTGTCGCTGCCGGGCTCCTGCTGCCCAAACTGGTTGCAGGGGAACGCCAGCACGTTGAAGTGATACGGCCCAAAGTCCCGATGGAGCTGCTGCAGGTCTTTGTAGTGTTCCTCAGTGAAGCCACATTCACTGGCTACATTCACCACCAGGGACACCTGAAGCCACATAGATGCACTTTAAAAACACTACGATAAAACCACCAGCAGCCGGGGAACTGTCAACAGCTGAAGTACACAACATGCTCTGCTCATTATGTTAGCTTGTTAGCTTGTGCTCTCCTCAGATATGACTATAAGTGAAAGGAAGGACAGACCCTAACCCTAACCCAGTTTTGATACCAGGGTCAATCTTGTCCTGTTCTTGTGAATGTGATATCTCAGTTACACCATGAGGGAATTTCTTCAAATTTAACACAAACATTCACTCGCAGTCAAAGATGAACTGATAAAATGATGACATTTTATATCCAAAAGGTTAAAGGTCAACTTCACTGTGACATTGTGATGTTCTGCAAAAACAGTGTGACCATATTTCCTGCAACTTAGCTGTTGGGCGTGAGGCAATAATTCTAGTTTACATTTTTTTACCAAGATGATTTTCTTTGATACTGTGACGAGACATTATGATCTTTTTCCTCTTGATGTCCTCCATCGTCAAATGTTTCCAGGTTGAACAAAGGAAACTTACTATGCACATTTACTCAAGTATTGCACCAAAAATTTAGCGTGTTTTCTCCCTCTCTCTTGTTCCAGTAATCATCTCATGAAACCTCTGATTTATCATATCTATATTATATCTCCATAAAAAGTAGTTCGCACTAGCCCCGCCTCCACCTGCTACAATAAAATGGTAATTAAGCATTGATGCATCTGTATTAACAATCTAAAAATATCTGATATATTTATATATCAGTCACAGGGGTGAAATTGTTCTCTTACTTTTGATACTTAAAGTACATATTTTATACAAATTTTGCTGATTATACTTGAGTATTTTTACTTTAACTTGTAATGGAGTACTACACTTCTTCCACCACTTGTTTAGCCATTGTAGATTAGAAAAAACAAGATTTTCAACTGCTATTAAACTGCTCTTAAATTGATTAAGCATCCAAACACCTTGTTTTGTTTGACCAACAGTTTAAAACTCATTAATATTCAGTGTACAGGGATATAAAACAGAAACAATCAGAAACTCTTCAGACAATAACTGGTATGTTTGGTTGAAAAATGTTCTTAAACAATGAATCAATTATCAAAATTTTCTGCTGTTTGACGTATTGACTAATCATTCAGCACTACATCACAGGAAACCACCTTAACTGTGATTCAGACAGTTTTTATCAGAGGCTGCACGTCTGATCAGATTCACTGCTTTTCATGTTTAAGTTTTCATCAAACATGTTAGCGAGCAGATCCACAGCATAGACAAAGTCAAGCTTGTTAGCGCAGGCAACTACATGCTACAGCTTCATGCTTCATGCTCACAGTCAGTAGGGGAGAGTTTCTGCAGAGGATTGAAGAGCGGCTCATCACTACAACATGCATTTCATTTTCCCTCAGTCTACAGTTTGACGATCCCATCATCTAGTGCTGAGAGGCTCGGAGCCTCCTCTCTTCTGATTGGCTCACTGACCTGTTGTCACTAGAGCTCCAGAGAGAAGCCTGAGAGAGGAGATGTAAAACTACATTGAGATGGTTTTTGATAACAACCACAAATATATCTTCTTATGGATCAACACTTCAAATAAAACACAGGAAAAATATAAAACATGAGAACTTTAACCAAGCACAGTGAGGGGGATACATATTTTTTTATTTTTAAAGGTGTTCAAGAGGACCAAATAAAGGAATTACATAAGGTCTTCATATCGAATTTTATTTCGATATGAAGTATAATTTTTTAATTATAAGATTATTTTGACTACAATCACAGAAATATTGTGCTGCCCAAAAATGACTTCATTTCTATTTTTCTCTCTTCTGCTCAGCTTTATTTATCTTGAACTGCGATGAACTAAACTTGATTAGCTAACTGAAGTAATGAAAAGCAATTGTAAGTAGACACAATAACACTTAATGATACAGCCTGTGATTTACTGTAATTTCATTGTATGAATCAGGCACTGATAAAACACTAAGTGGTTCACCATAAAAGCTTTTGTTAATGAGTGAAACTACAACGTGTACTGTACATTAAACAGTAATGATGAGGTCTGTGGGCTGTAATATTACCTGTGTCTGTTCTCCCTCATTTGCTCTTTAATTACACTGTACGAAAAAGGTTGTTAACAGCATTGAAGTTTTGTTACGCAGTACTGTAGCTATAGGTAACCTAGTATATGTACCTCCAGTGCAGACCAGTTAATGATTTAGTTTTACCTGATTCATACAACAAATCAGTCAGTTAATACAAGGCTGGACAATAACCCATCAAATGCTGATAATCAGCATAATGCATAAATAGGTTTTTTTTTGGTCCTGCAGCTCTTTAACAGAAGATCAGTGGTCAAACAGTCCGTTGGGGAGGATGCAGGAGGATTTTACACAACCTTCTTATTAATGTCTTATAACTGACCTATAAAGCTTTAGTAAATTATGTATTAACCATTAATGAAGCTATTAATCAATCTCTTTATATAATTGCTGCCTTATGTGTTTGTGGTGCCCAAGTATTAAACTGTTCCCTACAAATAAAACCATGTATGTAAGACTCCTACAAGATAATTAAAAATCTGCAGTAGTACAGGTAGTGTGCTGTATCAGTCGATTAAGACTAACCCGGTCTCGTGATCCGTACCTTGTTTGAATGAAAAGTCTATGAAGCAGCTGCAGCGGCTCTGCAGGCCTCTTGCCACGTAGGCCAGCGGGGCTACATGATGGGACATCCCGAGCAGGCTACAGTCAAACTGAGTTAGTTACATCTAAAAACATGATGTTAAGTGGGAGACGAAGAAAAAATAATTAAACATTCTCATGCAGTGGCGACTGACATGCAACAGGACAGACTCTGTAGTAACATCACCGGTGTAAACTGTTAGTCTATAGTCAGCTGTTCGGAACCAGACTTACCGAACCCCGGTACTTCTCCAGGGACACTAACTTCCCCCTGCTGTTCACCACTTTAAAAGTATAAAAGTCTTTCTGTTTGCTCTCAGTGAGGCTGAGTAAGGTCAGTAACACGGCGAGGGCTCCGGGAAGCATCTTTACAGTCAGACTGCCAACACAGCAGCAACAGCGAGGAAACTTCTGTGAACTCCTGCGGTAGTTCTGTCCCGGTAAGTCAAGATACAGCAGACAGACGGGACAACACTTCCGGGATCGGACGTCACTTACAAAATAAAAGCCGTTATTGATAAATTTGTGTTGATTATTTGACCAGGCACCAAGAAACCAACCAGTACTCTAGAGGTGAAATGATTGGTCAATTAATCAATTAAGTAACTGGTGGAAAAAATAGTGGCAACAATTTTGATAACCGATTAATCATTTGAGTCAGATTAAAAAAAAAAAAAAAAATCACTGGTACCAGCTTCACAAATAGTTTCCTGGTTTTTTGTGTTTTTGTGAACTCAACATTTTGGGGGTTTTGACTGTTGTTAACTTGTCTTACTTTCTTGTACTTTCTAAGCAACCATTCTATACTTGACACAGAAAAATATTGTGATTTGTCAAATTTATCAATTGTCAAATTAAATTATAAGTGATATCACAATTTTGGCCCACCATGAGTATTTTTTTAACATTAGAACTTTCCATCAGCTTTATTCTTGTTGTGTGGGAAAATGAGTTTAGTATTATCCTAAAAGGCTAAATGACTGCCATTTAACTTTGAATGGAATCATAAAATCAAAATATATTAGAATTTGGTAGCCCAAAGTACACTACAAATATTTTAAATCCTTTTCATATCACAACCAGCGTGGGACACTTTTGGTGATTCGCTAAGGTTAATGTGTTTTATTGCAGGTGAGGAGTCTCAAGCTTTTATTTTGAAGGTGTTTTGTATGGAGAAGAATTGGAACTGGAACAAAAACTTTTCCACCTCTCACTCTCAGCTCATTAAGCAGATGAAGGCATGCACACCATGGCCTACTTTTTACTGGAGGAAAACAAATGAACACAATCCAAAAATACAGAGCAAAACCTAAACCCTCTGCATATTGATAACAGGCCTCTGTGAGAGAAGTTTTCACAAACTGGGTCTCATTTGTGTGGAAATTTAGGCTAAGTCACATTCCTAACCAGAGAGTAATTACACAGACTTGGGACGAGGTATTTTGGTTACATCTTGTGTTTGGGAAGTTTAGCTCAGGTTTGAGTGAATGGCCTACATACTGTGTGCCAATGAAGTGGTCCACAGAGTGCCATTTGTGTTTCCCTTTTGCAATGCATGACCCAGTATCCAGGTTTTTGTTTAAAGACTATTTCAAGACACAGTATTTAAAATAGGAAGACTTAGAAAAAAATTAGAAAAATTAGCTGTTTTTATTTTATGTACAAAATAAAAGTTCAGATGCCTTTTGACAAGACATCAACTTCATAAAAATTAGTGGCGATGAAAGATAAAACATATGATTTATTTCAACTCTTTAAAAATATGTCTTCTGCTACATTTCCAATCATTAATGTTTACATCGCATCTCTAAAGAAGCAGCAGGTTAATGAAGAGAAAAGAGATGACAGCTTTGTAATAGCTTCGAAAAGACATTTGGAACTGGATTGCTTTTCAAAACCCTTGGGAGTAACCTTTACACTATAGCCTATTTGTTAATAAAATCGTCATAGCAAAGAAAGAAAGAAAGAAAGAAAGAACGAAAGAACGAAAGAAAGAAAGACAGAAAGGAAGAAAGAAAGAAAGAAAGAAAGAAAGAAAGAAAGAAAGAAAGAAAGAAAGAAAGAAAGAAAGAGACGTGTTTGGGAACCTTGTATCTACACTAAAAAGATTCTGAGCGGTACCTGAACGCAACACGTTGCACGCCCCTCTTCATCATCACTGGCACTCCCACAATGCAGCGGGGTAATGTATTAACATGGCGTCAATGGTTGCTGTTTTGACCAGGGCCGTGGGATCTGAAAAACATTATGTAGAACAGAACCATGGAGACAGCTAAACAATAATTTGAAATCGACTTTAGAGCTCGAAAGTAAGTTAAGACGCGCTCTTGTGTGTTGAAATGGTCGAAGTCGTTTTTTCCTGCTTTTAATGACTTGCTGCTGTGTGGCAGCTGGGTGCCAGTATTATTTATTTCCCGTTAGCTAGCTCAGCCGGACGACCGGGCACAGCAGCTAACGACAGTTAGCTCACGGAGACGGCTAACGGCAAAGTCGGCTGAGCAGAGAGCAGAGAGTCCCCTGGAAGTCAGCGTGAATCCTTCTTGCAACACAGGAAACGCCTTTTGGTTTTAATGGTGAGCATTTCTCTAAGTCGATAATATCTGTGTGCTTTCGTTTCTGTTTAGGAAGTTGAGCTAACGTTAAGTCCCAGTGTTGTGTCGAAGTCTGCACCCCCCCCCGTTCAGTTTCTGTTTCCTTTCACCTGAACCACACATTATCAGCTCTTACCCCAGTCATGTCTGCCACGCTAAACCATAATCCAACATCAAACCCTAAATCAAGCCCTAACTCTGACGCAACATCAGGCATCACCCGCCTCCGTTCATACGAGATGTGTTTATGTTTGGCAGTAGTGGAAAGTAACTAAGTACATTTACTCCAGTACTTTATTGAGATACATTTGCTTTACTTTAGTTTTTCTGTTTTATGCTACTTTCTACTTCTACTCCACCACATTTCGGAGGGACCTATTGAGAGTTTTTACTCCGCTACGTTTATGTGACAGAGATTAAGACTTAATATAATAATCGTGTAAAGTTCAAAGCATTGTTAAGGTCTAAATCAGTGGTTCCCAATCATTTTTGTCTTGCGCCCCCGTCAGATTAGACTGGTTTCTCCTTTAAACTTCATTTAAATAACTGTTCAAGAAAGCAGTTAATACCAGAAACACCTACCATGGACGATTAGATCAACATTATTTGCGAAATCTTTAGGGTGGAAAGAATTACTTTTGATATTAGCTTACAACAGTTAAAATTTATGAAGACATGGGAAATATGGATAATGTACATCCCACCTGTATGTCCATCATGTTTATAATGTAATTTTTTTCATGTCTTCTTTTTTATACCCCCCTTTTTATTAAAGGATTTGAGTATCATTCAGGTACACGCCAACTTTTTGGTTTTAGTTATTTGGATTGTTTTGTTTTTTCTCTGTTCTGTATTTTATTTATTATTATTATTATTATTATTTATTTATTTATTTTGGATGCTGTGTGCAGTTGCCTCTGTATTATCTATTTTAATTCAGATTAATTTCTTGAAATTGAGTCTTACAGAAAGCTTGGATAGAAAGGACCATTAAGGAATGCAATATAAACATAATTTCATAAAATGAATATATGTTCAAGTTATACATATTTTTCAACATAAAAGAATGGAAAAAAAGAAAAAGATTAAAAAATGATTACAAATGTGTGTAGCAGAACATTGTTTTTTTTTTCTCTGCTCTCCCACTAAACATCTCAGGGCCACTCAGATTTGTCAGGTGATCCTGTGGAGGGGCCCGACCCCTAGGTTGGGAACCACTAGAATAAACTAGCTAACTCTAAATAAAGAAGTTAAAATTAGCTCCACTCTGAGCAGCTACAACGGTGAAATGCTGCCTACCCATTGATGCATCAGCATTAACAATCTAACAATGTCATATATGAAAATAAATTATTATAATAATAATGATACATCACCAACAGGGGCCATCTGTCTGCACACACAGTACTTTTACTTTTGATATATCAATTATATTTGACTGGGTAGACCGCTGTACTTTTCCTTAAATAGGATTTTAATTGCAGGACTTTTACTTGGAATGGAGTATTTTTACATTGGTGTCCTGATCCTTTTACTCAAGTAAAGGGATAAGTGCTTATTCCACAGCTTGTGTTTAAGGAATCAATTAATGCCACTGTTGTTTTAATATCTTCACTAGATGAATAGAAACTCCTCTTTTCAGTCATACACAGTGGTTTAAACCTTGGGAATTTGTGACAAGCACTGTATTTGGGTTGTGACTATTATTTCCAATAACAGTTAATCTGTTGCTTATTATTATTATGATCTATCAGTTAATTATTATCTTTTGAAATGTAAAAAAATTATATAAAAAACAAAAACCTATTTCATACTCTGAGAAGGTGATGTCCTCTGGTTTCAGAACCCAATGATATTCAGTTTACAGGAAATATACAAGTGAAGAACAGCTCTCTCCTTTGTTTTCTGTCATTTGCTAATTTGATGAACTGTTTCAGATCTAATCTGTTTAACAAGCAAGAAGTGTCATAAAATATACTAAAAAGACTCAATGCTGTTCACAGGTCTGCCTTTTAAAAGTATACAGTTCAAACAGAGTTTTAACTAGAGCAAAGAAAAGGTCTCCTATCACTCTTGTTCAAAGTCCCTGCAATGGCTTCCTGTTAGGTGCAGGATAAAAGTATTAATAGACTTTCCCTCCGCTTCATTTGACTCATAGATATGTTCCTGAGTTCCATGAGTCCTTAAATCCAGACTGTGCGGCTCACTATACCAACAACTTAGTACAGTGACACTTGTTTTTTGTAGGTGTGAGCTCATAAACATTATTTACGTTTACATTTTCCCATTTTACAGATGCTTTGATGATGTGATTTTTGTTCGGGCTTGTACCAAACAAACATGTTCCTGTAAGTCTGGAGAATATGATTTGTAGACTGGGGCGTCTCTGTAGCACCACCGCGCTTATGGTGCTAACAATACACAAAAATGATGTGACACGTTTTACCTTTATCAAAAAATTGAGGGTCCTGCGATTTATTTATTTATCTTTTTGCACGTCCTCTGATTTAGATATTGCATTTGACCATATTGCAATTTCGATTATATTTCAATTAATCGTGCAGCCCTAACAGCACCTTACAAATGAGGGACATCACTCAGTAGGAGATCTTGGTATAAGTACTAGAGCCTGACCGATATTGGATTTTTGGGGCCAATACCAATATTGGGGAGTACAAAAATTCCAATATTGGAACACTTGTAAAGAAGATATGTAATAAAAGCAGGATATTTTACAGTTTAAGTTTTAATTGGGGCATTAAATAAAATAAGTATAAAATGAAATAAAAAAACATAAGAACAAATATGTATACATATTTTATATATATATATATTTATTTTATTTTTTTTTTAACTTGAATGAAAACAAAGGATCAAATATACATAAATTGCTGCCTATATAACTTGACCCGAGCATTTAAGCTGCATTATTGCTTCTTAATAAAAGTATTCATATCAGTGCATAACGGAGAATATATGCGCCGATACCTATATATCTGTCATAGGCCAATATCAGCCAATAAAATCGGCTGACCGGGCTCTAAAGTACTAAGCAGTAAATCTGTTCAATAAGACAAAGTGCGAAGTAAGTGCTAGTTAGACATGTCAGGGTGTTAGGAGAGGAGGTGCTCTCTGAAGAGATGAGTCTTCAGCAGATTCTTGAAGATAGAGAGGGACGCTCCTACTCTGATGGCGCTTGGCAGCTTGTTCCACCATCAGGGAACCGCAGACGAGAACAGTCTGGACTCAGATTGTCTTGTGTGGAGGGATGGTGATGACAGATGTCATTCCTTGGAGGAACACTGGCTGAGAAGGAGCATAAGGCTGAATGATTGAGTTCAAGTTGATGGAGCAGACCCACAAGTTACTCTGAAGGCAGCATTAGTGACTTGAATTTGATTAGGACGGCCGTGGGTAGTCAGTGGTCATTGAGTAGCAGAGTGACGTGACTTTTTAGGCTGATCAAAGACCAGACTTGAGGGTTTCATGTGTGTGAAGGGAGAGCCGCCAGAAGAGCGTTGCAGCAGTCGAGGTGAGAGATAACGATAGCCATCAGTCAACATCAATCAAGACATTTTAGTATCTGTTGAAAAACTTGCATTTGAACTTCCATGTCGCCCTTGTCTTGTTTTTAGCACACCTTTATAAGTGAAAACAATGTTTTTTGTAAGTCATTAGTGTGTGTGGAAAATATCATATTCTGGTAGTAAACTAGTCAAACAATGCATTGAAAAAATTGCAGCAGTTCTGTGTAAAATTAATAGTAAAACAGCAATCACAACTTCCACCACTGAAGCTGAGTAGTTGTAGTGTAAGGCCTTCGTCTTGACTTTTTTCTCCCTTCTCCCTCTTCTTCAACTGTTGAGAATTAAGATTCCTCTTTCCTTGGAAATTCACTCTTAATTCATTTACATAATTCTATAGTAAGTTACACGCACAGTAAGTTTACGTGTATATGTTTTTTTTTAACCTAGATTTTAGGTGGCCTGCCTCCCCGGTGATCCTCAGCGTGGTGTTGACTCCACCAGGGACAACAGCAGCAGGACAGGAGGGATGGATGAGTCCATAAGTCCAGTAAAACCAGTCAAACAGTCTCAGCCCAGAGGAGCCAAAGCTTTGTCCAGTGAGAAATCAAATAAAGAGGCTCCAGTGCAGAGAGAAGGCACAAAGTCTGCGGCCCGCAGCAGAGAAAACCTCACCACTGCTAAGGATGAGCACAGTTTAGGCTACCAGGGGAGCCGTGGGCAAGGCAAGACTTCCGCAGACACCCCACAGGACAAGAGGAGAGGACGGCCTTCCAGGCTTACAAGACTGACTGGAAGAACAAGTTCTGGGGAGAGAGGCAAAGGCAAAGTGGCAAGTTCACAACAGCAGCTGGCGACACGGGCTCCTGACTTCAGGTCATCTGTTTCTGCAGACAGCAGCCCCTCAGCAAACAGAGAGACCAACTCTCCTGTAGTGCCTGGTACACCTGAAAAGGGCCTCGCAGAGCTGGCCAAGACTTCCACCGTAACTCCAGCAAAGGAAAAATCCTATGGTGGGTT